TTAACTATTTTGTTATCAAGTTTGCCCAACCCCACCATTACAAGAGAGCTCTAACAGAGGGTCCTTGGGTTATTTAAGGACATATACTACCTTGCCATTTAACATTGGAGTCCCAACTTCATTCCTTATAGCAACGTTTGAGAAAGTTGGCTGTATAGGTAAGAGTCCCAATTCTACCCATGCACTACTACAATGAGGAAATCCCTAAAGAGATTAGGAGTTTTGATTAGGAAAGTTCTAAAAGTTGATCTTAACATATTGTCCAATCAACATCAAGTAAACATATAGTTGAGAGAAGGAGGTTTGCTTGTATTAGTATTGAAGTTGACCTAACAAAATTTCTTTCCTCTAAGTTTGTTATTTGACGACAAGTTTTCACAATAGATTATAAAGCTTTGGGAATTATCTATTTTTAGTTCGGGTGTTGGCATAACAAGAAAAACTACCCATCTATTAATAAACTAACGTAATCAAAGTCAACTTAGAACACAAGCAAAGCACATCTTTTCCAACTTTATCGTGGTCATTGAAAAAGTCCAACACCAAGATTCCTGAGATTTTTATACTAAAAATCAATTTGAGCAATAGCAGAATATTTCATTAGATGAAGACTTGGGGTCTTAGATGTTGTCGAACGATACATGAAAGCTAAGAAGTCAAAGGAAAGAAGGAGAGATTAACCAATTGAGTAAGAAATCAAGTAAGATAAACAAGGAATGTGAAGGAGCAAACTAGTGTTCAAACATTTAGGTTTATTGTACTAGTAAAGGAAAGCGACAACTATGACGTGATGAGAAAGAAAGGGGCTAGTACAAAAAAATTCCAAAGCCAAGAATGGAGGAAAAAGGTTTATAATGATAACTTTGAGAAAGGCAAGGCTCCTAAGGTAAGTGAAGCCAAAACTAGTCCTGCTAAGGCTAAGGAATTCTCTTTTAAGGCTAAGGGACAAGTATGGTCAAATAATAGTAATGCGTGGGAAGCCTTAGCAAGTAGAGCAAAGAGTCCAAAGAAAAGAATGGTGGGCTAGAGAAAAAAGATTGGCCCAAGACAAGTGGATCAAAGAGAAATCAATCCTAAAGGCTTAAAATCCATTCCCTTATTTTAAAGAGGAAGAATCTCTCCAGGCTCCATAATGTTGTCTTGAGCTCAACTAGTTTGACAAGCTCCTTTGTTTTGGGCTAGGCAGATAAAGTCCAAGTCTAAGCACCAGAAGACCTAAGAGAGGAAAATAGAAATCTTACGTATAACCAAAAGGAACCAATTAGGGTTTTAAACTTGTCCCCCAACATGATACCTTATAATAGTGTTTTGAAAACCAATTTTATATCACAAGCTCTGCCGAGACCATTAGAACCACTCGAAGAGCAAACTAGTATGGATACCTCAGAGGTGTTGGATGGGGATATAAGTGAAGATTAAGAATTGTGGTTCAAAACAGAACCAATGGACAAGGATAAAGGCTATAGTACCAAAAGTGATGAAGAAGACATGCGTAGCTAGTGTATGCTAGATGCCCTCTATTTTATTCATGATTATTATTATTTTTATGAATATTATCTCATAGAATTGTAAGGGCCTACCTCTAAAACTTCTCTTCTGAGGATGACTAATGTTTTGCATATAGAATTGTTGATATTTTCATTCTATTGGAAACTAGAGTCTTTAGTCATAAAGCGAATGCAGTTGTTCGTAAACTGGGTTTTTCTAATTAGAAAAGGGTTGAAGCCATGGGCAATGCTTGGGGGATTTGGATTTTGTGGAACTCTTTTACCGTAAATATTTGGAGAGATCTTGCAAGTATCAATGATTGTATGTATGATCCTTGGGTTGTAGTTGGAGATTTTAATATATATCTCCAGGGATGGAGACAAGGGGACCAATAGGGGCCATGGCCCCCTAACATTTTAATTCTTTTACTAATAAAATGTAGGAGTTATATATTTTTAGCCCCTAAGTTAGCATATTATAGAAGCTTTAAAATATTAGATAGAATTTTAATTTTAATTTTATAGTAGTCTTTTACGTATGTATAGTCCTAAATATTTTAGTAGATTAAAGATATAATTGTTATGGAATTTACTTATTTTCAATAAGAAAATGTTACAGTTACTCTTAAAGCATTGAAGTCATTTGATTTTGCTATCATTTTATATTTGATGAAAGAAATTGTGAGAATTATTACTAACAAACATTGTCAAGCAATATAACAAAATCTTAAGATATATTAAATGTTATATGCTTGATATATACTATAAAATCACTTATTCAAAATTTATGAGTTAAGATATGTTCTTCTAAATTTTTTCTATAATAACCAAGCTATTAAAATTTATTACATGAATGATTTTTACTATGATACACTTAGATCTCATCTGGTCATTGATTCTGGATATTAGCTTTTTGCAAGTTAATCCTTATACACTTAGAATCTGCTGACTGGTTAACGACATACATGTGGCGTATGCAGGGGAACACAGTTGACTTGACTTGACATGCTTAAGGAAATTATTTTCCAGCTTGGTAATGATTTTTTATATATTTAACGACAGTCAGAACGCTGTTCAAGAATCTTTAATTCAAATATTTTGTGAAAATGCCAAGACATTCCTCTATTAACGTATATATCAGTTTAATTGGACATGATATTAAAAATGATTTTATTCATAATTTGTCTGGAAATAAATTAATAATCATGGTCTCTTGTTTTGTTAATTGCTTTTTTTCCTTTTCCTTTTCGCCACCTCCTTTGCTGATTACTATTTATAAATTATAGATTATACAACAAGAGACCATGATTATTAATTTATTTCCAGACAAATTATGAATAAAATCATTTTTAATATCATGTCCAATTAATGAATCAGATTTCAAGTAAAGACCAGCTTTATCAACTTTGAATTGTAAAATTATCATATTTATGTTAACAAATATAGTAATAAAAACAATAATCGAGGCCTTCGTTCAACTGTTTGATATAATTGAATCAACTTATTCAGGTTTCATATTCAAATCTTGATATATATAATCATATTAAATAAATATATTAAAAGTATTCCTAAAATTCCTGTGAAGTTGTTGTTGATCATAACAGTACCACACAACAGAGTTTTGTTTATTTTGAGGAAAAGGTGATATATAATATATAATATAATACTTTAAATTTTCTAAGATACCAGACGATTGAATTTTTTTTTTATTAAAAAAACGGCTTAAGGAATGCAGGCACATGAATTTGGAAACAAATTAGTATGTGATTCTTATATACCAAAAGTATAATATAACATTAATTCCCGAAGTATGTATAGCTTTAATAAAATTTTATTTAATTTAAATATATTAATATTTTTTAAAATTCATTCAGAAATAAATCTTGTAAAATTAGATAATAATTTTCATTCTTAAATTTTGTGATAGACAATATGGATTGTATGAGGTAATGAATGTATCAAGCTATAAAAACTTTTTCCTAACTTATGAATAATGGCTTTTGTAAATTGTTTATATTATATAAATTTATTAATTATTGATATTAATATTAATTTATAAATAGTTGTTATATTCTTTTGTATCCAGAATGCAAAACTACTATTTCACAAGGATTAAGAAATGCAATTAAAATTGGTTGCATAATTAAAATAGTAAAAATATTACTATATTTTTCAATATTACCCTCTAGTTAAAATCATTTATATTAATTTCTTTTAATTTCTTTCTTTTATAATCTCATTCTATACTTCAATTAATAATAAAAGCATTTGTATAAAATTTAATATTATTGATTTTTTTTTTTTTAAATATTTTACGTTTGGGACAATCACTAATTGGTAAAAATATACATATCTTTCTCCTTCCGCTTCAATATAAAACGAAGTCTGAAAGCTTTTTTCCCCACTAGATATATGATGAAATTGGAATAATTAATACTTTTATCCAATTTTACCCTTTATTTATTTATTACAATTTAAATTCCTAAAAACAATTTATAATGTTGTAATTTTTTTTTTGTAAATGCTCTTTTTTTTACTACTTTAAGGTTATAACTAATATTTCTTAATAACTATGAAATTCAAATTTCACCTTATATTAATGAATGAAGTAGTATATTTTAGAGTAGAACTATTAATTTTTCTATTAAGGTACATTTTTATTTTTGAATTGTTCTCCAAGATATACTAAGTGTTTTAAATTATTTGTCGTGACAACTTTGTTATTATAGTAATAAAAACGTATTAGCATAGTTATCCCTAGTGTTAAATATCATAACATTGACCATTAAATATGTTGAATAGAACTTAATTTTGACCGAAAATGACATCTGTCATATTAGGTGGATCAAAGTTAAAGTATGTTTTTGTTATGTTTTAATTACTTTAAGAATGAAATTGCTATGATGTAAATAATTTAGACATTAAGTGATCCTTGAAAAATACTTCCTCTATCCTAAATTATAGGATACTTTTGAAGAGGTTATATGTTCTAAAATATTAAACATTTTGGATAAATTAAAATTTCATTAAATCCACTAATTTTCATATTACCCTTTCTCTCGCTATAATTAATTTATGCCCATTTTCTTTTTAATGTATTAAATGATAGATATTTTTTAAAGTTTATATTTTTATTTTAAAAAGATAAAATTGTTAAGTATATTTAATGAGTTTATTAATATGTGAGATTTTATCTAAAGTATCTTATAGGTTGAAACGGAGGGAATATTTCAAAGCAAGAATGTACAATAACTTAGATCTACTTGACATGACAAATGACATTTTTAGTCAAATTTAAATCCCACTTTTAACCATCAATATTAGAGTATTTAACATTAGAAAAAAAATATAATATGTTTTAATTACTTGTTAAGACAAATCATCCAAAAAAAATGTGCCACACTATCCCTTACTTTTTCTTGATATCCTAGTAAGCAGTAACAAGTTTCCACGTGTTTGGAAACATATATTCAAAGGGTAACTGAAGAAATCCACCTCCATTAATATTTCTAATCCCACATTAACATCTGGGGATTTGCCCATAAACATGAACTTCAGCAATAATCATGCTTTTCACCAATTCACCTTCAACTGCATCTCTTTAAATGGAGACCACAATTCAAGACTTGCTTCATCCTTATTCTCTCTGTCTATCTTTCCTCTTTAATTTCCCGAATTCGCATCAATGTTCAAGAGTTCAACAATGTCCAAGAAGCTTCAAAATTTCTTTCAATATTGCCTCTCCAAGCTCAAAAACTCTCGTCCCCAGATCCACCCTTCTCTGTCTTCATCGTCTTCTTCTCCCATAATGCGGATCCTCTCGGGTTGCCAAAAACCCAAAACCTCTTCGTTTGCCGTCGCCAGAGGAAACGACGACGCAGCAGTTACGCTTTCGGATGTTGATCGATTCCTCTTCGAGAATTTCAAATCTCTATTTCCAGACGACGACGAAAATACTACGGCGAATGATAGCAACAACGTTACCAATGATGGAGTTCCTGAAGAAAATCTCGGAGATCCGAAATCAGGATTCGATTCGGGTGACCCGACGTCACCGGATCTTCTCGGTGATCTCAGTGAGTCTTCGGGTTCTCGAGAGAGCATCGTCGTATTGGCGTGGTCGGCGAACCAGTATGAGGATTTCCGGCGATCTATGACAGAAATGGTGGACGCGAGATTGAGAAATCACGAGAGGGTGGATTGGGGATTTATGGAGGAGCTTTTGCTATGTTATTTGAACCTGAACGACAAGAAGTCACACAAGTTTATTCTGGGTGCTTACGTGGATTTGGTCCATGGTTTGCGGGAAAGCTCACCGGAGAAATCTCCACCGGCGGCGAAGAAGCCAAGGAGCGTCCGAACATTCAGAACTGTGAAGGAGATCGGGAGGAAGGAGAGGACAGAAGAAGCGAAAGCTGCAATCCGATTCCGTGCAATAGAGAAACAAGACTGATTTTCGGACTCTGAACTTTGGTCCCCCACCCCCCTTCCCGTGGCTTGAAATCCTCAGCATTGATAAACATGCAATAAGAATCAACCAGTCAGTCAAAGAACGTGATGGCGACAATTCTGCTTAATCCTCGCATCCACATGAATTTGCGAAAAATTAATCTTTTAATATTATTAGGTGTAAATTTCTTATACTTTAACTCTGCAACTTAATTTTTATAATTTTAAAATTATAATTTAATTTTAATAATTAAAAATATTAGTTTATATAAAAATTATTTTAAAATTTTAATAATTTAAAATATTAATTTTTAAATTTCAAAACAATTTACGATGGAATCATTGTCAGATGCCCACCAGCCAGAACATGTTCCCAATGCCATAAGAGGGTGTTATTTGGACGACCGAGTTGAAAGCCAGTGACGTGGGTTGCTCGTGGCCAAAACTGATAACTATTTGGACACCAATGCAAAATGATTCGTTGCTACCAAAAAAAAAAACAAAAAACAAAAAAAAAAGGGGAAGAATTACCTTCAACTTGACAATAAACTTATTTATAAATAAAAATCAACAAAAATAAATTGTTGTTAAAATAAAAATATAAACTTATTTTTTTCAAATATAACTTATTATTAGTCTTGTTTATAAATAAATTTATTTCCACATCCTTGAATGTAATTTTCTAGAACAAAAATGGTGGTAGCGTTCATGCAAGTTTCGGTCAGCCAGTTATGTTTTTTAAGAGAATTGCATACAAGCCTCATTCAACATAATTAATTACTCCCGAGTCCATCAACAGGTAACATTTTTTTAAGCTCAGTTGTCAATAAATTTATGAGTAATTGATTATATTGAATGAGATTTTAAAGTAGTTCTCCCCACATCTTTTTCCGTCAAATGGATGAGGATGTCTAGGTTTTGGTATTATCATTATTTTATGACTAAATTATACATTACTTTCTTAAATTTTAAACCATGTACACATAACCTCCTTACTCTTTGAAACTTTAGAATAAACTATTAGAATATTTATTTATGAATTTACATTAATTAATAAGCACAAATAGATTGGTTTTTATGATCATGTGTAGACTGTTATAGGTGAACCACACAAGTGAGTCCAATGGATAAAAGCCCAACCTACAACCAAGTAACCATCAGTTATTTCCTAACTTTTAACTAACTGAGTCAAAAATAATAGAATATAATTTATTTATTTATTATAGTGGTTACCAATCTGGTCAATATAAGTCGATCAGTCAATAACCACAAACATACGATACTTTCACTTTTTTCATTATCTCTGAACTTTTTGAAAACTACGAGGATCTAGTAAGTTATGTATCTATCTATACTCATGAATTTTTCAGGTACACACACATTACTTTGTTTAATATTATTTATTTATATGAATTGAGATATAAAGTTAACACAAGCTCCTATCAATTCTTATATTTATGCAAATAACTTTATACATTAATTATCTATACATTACTTAAAGTTTAAGGGGATTATCCATATATCAATCAATGTTTGGGGCATAAATGCACACAAAAATAAATTTTAATGGGGTATATAATTAATGGCTAGGGGTTATTTGCATAAATTTAAAACTTAAGGAGGCTTATTATTAAGTTTTAAAGGTTAAGGGGCTAATTTGTATATAGTTCAAAGTTTAGGGAATTATGTATAATTTACCCTTATTTTATTTTATTACATGATAGTCTTGAACTTCACTCATCAGCCACAAGTGACATCCGTGTATATTGTAAGTGGCAATGTCAGCGGGCACACTGCCATTTGATTTTTCAGATAATTTAAGCTCGGCTAATATTGAAATAAAAAAAATCTAGTAATTAAATTCAAATAATTATATTAAGTAATATTATGTTCTCTTCAATTTTTTGATCTATTATTCTGATTGAACAATTGACACATGAATGTTATCAAAGTAACCCCTCTAGTGAAAGATTTTTCATGAAGTAGCAGATGTTTTTGTGGGTGTATAAGTTCATGCCAGTATCATAACTAGCCCAAAGGAAAATTGATATCTGGCTAAGTTGTACACATACATGCGATGGTAATTATATGACATCTAAGGTTTTACATGTGAATAATAATTTGGTTCAAAGATCATTTATTATTTGGCAGTAATTTTTTGTCAATATTTGATTATTGCAACAAGATTAATACTTGCAGTTAATATTACTGTTCAAAGACTTAATATTAATGTGTAGTGGTATTTTGCCATGTATGGGGTTTAGTTATTTGAATTTATTGCTGCCAGTTTATTTTTGTTTTGAGTGTGGTCAACTATTGTGTTATTTTCTTTTCTTTCAGCTACTATTTTTTTATCTGCCAACTCTAGTTTTATGCCCATTTTGAATGGGAACAATTTCAAGGATTGGAAAGAAAAGTTATCAGACTATTTGAGCTATATATATATTCTGACCTTGCATCAAGAATTGAGTAGCAAGCCTACTTCTCTTATATATATATATATATATATATGAAAATGGAGGTAGTTTGAGAAGTATGATGACTCAGTAACAAAAATCTCAAGCAGTATGCATAAGGGATACAAGTTTTAAAATTCCACAATAAAGTATATATTTGAAAAGGGAAAATGCATGGTTATTTTGAGGATATCGAGTTTGAGGGAAAAAACAATGTAACCCCATTTAGAATATGACATTTGTTGATAGAGGTGGAGCCAGAAAATTTTGTTTGGAGGGCCAAAATGGTAAATCATACATGATAATAAAAAAATTAGAGACTATAAATGAGAAGAAAAAAGAGAGGTGAAGAATATAAGTAATAGAAATGAGGATAACTTTTGATGTATTCTCTTCCATTCTTTACAATACAAATAACATACCCTATTTATAGGCATGATCTTACATTAAGGGTTACACAAGTGATAATGAAGAATAAAGGGTAATCAACACTCAAATGATGGGGGTTTCAAGGGAGAAGATGAAAGGGTGAGGGAAATAGACATATGCTGACTCTTAATATTCATAACACTCCCTCTTAAATGTCTATTATATACTTCAATTAGAGAAAACCCTGTGGGACAAAAACCTAGTAGAAGAAAAGAATACATCATTTATTTGTATGTTATCCAATGTTGTCTCATTAAAAACCTTATCAAGAAAATTCAATAAGACAAAACCTTGGTTAAGGTAAAAAGAATACAACACATACTTACTCCCCATTATGACAACATCACTTTTAAATCATTGTACTTTGAGATAATATGCTAATTTCTCAAATGTGATTGTTATCAATGTTTTTCCAAGCAAGTCTTACTTCTAGTTGAACCATGCCAGATGCATTGTTATCATATATATAACTTTTTAGAGATATATTTCTCTAACATATTTTCAAGATACAGCACTTTTCTCATAATATCATATCTTTTTTTCTAATCTGTTAGTTCACCAGGAACTCAAATTTGTCAACAAAATTATACTATATTAGTTGAACGTATAAATACTCAAAAATATACGGTACTTCATTACCGATCAATTTAATATAGTCTCGCAAACAAAATAAATATAGCATAAAGATCTTATAACCATTGGTATTAAATACTAAATCAATAAGTTGAATGTAAAGTCGATATCAAAATTTTATTCTCAAATTCTTTTGATCAGAACCTATCATTTTTCCAAAACATATTTGCTAAGATATACACAAACGTACACTTGAAATATTTTAAATCCATACAAGCTCAAGAACATAAACATGTATATATGTTGAATAATTTTTCCAAGGATTTTTCATACTTTTGGCATTTTAACTCTTTCAAAGATTATCATGTAAATTTCATTATGTAGTGAATAATATGAATAGGCTATAATAATATTCAATAGACTCACATCATATTTCAATTTTATATATTGTCAGACTAATTATATATATATAAAAATTCATCACAAGATAATGTACTTGATCATCATCAGACCTTTGTAAAAATCTTTATTTTCACATAACTGTTCATTTATTCCTTAATAACTTTACACTTTAGGTGTTTGATGTAAAGGGCGTCTTAAATTAGGACTTAATCATCACACTAATCATGGTTAATCAAGAACTAACCCAAATAAATTATTCATTACGAGATTAACCTAAATGAATTCTTAACATGCATTTTTTTTTTACAAAATATTTAATACAAAGGGATTCCAAGTCTTTAAAATATTTTAAGAATTCATATCATTTAATTAAACATATGCGGAAGTATGATAATAACTATTTTTACCTGTACAAATATTTTGGCCCGTAATTATAGCACAAGCATCAAACCACATTCCCCAGGGCCCAAAATATATTTTTCCTAACACAAAACCCATAATGCAAGTGGATCAAGAATATATTATCCTAGATGGTAATATCATAAACTAAATACACATATCAAATAAAAGGAGAGAGGCCTACAGAAGTGATTATTATCACTTGGCCTAATGCTCCTTTCCTTTGTCCTTCTCAGATGAGTTAGCTCCTATAATATGTTAAAAGAGAGGGTGATACAACCACTCAGTAACTAAAGTATATCTAAGTTATACAAATGAATGATAATTACTCATGAATGCAAGTGACCAATAAATTTATTAAGGTGACCATTCAAACAATCACATTAATAACATGTTAATCACATTAACATTTAACTCATGTGAATAATTTCAAGAATAAAGTCAAGTATAAAATTTGCACAAATAGCCACATATACATTATTCGCATAATTACTACATGTTCTCATCTCTATAATTATAATCATATTCTCAACATAGCCATCAATCACTTAAATGATATGATAATAATAATATGCATGATTAATCTTTTCCTTATATCCCCCCTTATTTTCTCTGACATGAAATCCGTGGGCCAACAACCGGAAGGGATCATCCATGTGGTGAGACTACCCAAAGCCTTAATCATATCATGAGGGGCTATCGGGCCAGGGTTACCTTACTCAATTATGAACACGGTTTCCCTTAAATCACACACTATGGGGTGTCATACCTAAAATTCCAGGTAGGCCAATAGGGTCAAGTCCCTTAATAGGAACAATGCTATAGTACCTTACAAGGTAAGTAGCGACTATAACCCCTAGGATTATCAGTTAATAGCCAAGTACCAT